AAGCTAAAGGTGATTTTAGCTCTTCTCAGGTTATAATTCCAATAATGGAGTGAGCGTGTATCTGTTTAACTATATGTGACATGACTTAAAATGTATTTGTCAGATTGAGAACGAATATGGAAATATTGAGAGCTCATATGGCCCAGTCAGGAAAAGATTACGTCAAATGGGCAGCTAGCATGGCTCTTGGGCTTGGTGCTGGGGTTCCTTGGGTTATGTGCAGGCAAACTGATGCTCCAGAAAATATTGTAATCTCTGTACCTTAGTTTAGTATGTTTTTTGGTTTCTTCACCGAAGTACATGTCTACATGACCTATGACTGAAAAGAAATTTGGATGATTTTGGTTTCTTTGGATTTTTTTATCTATTTTGTATATTTTAATGATTTAAATCATCAATAATTTAATCCTATTTTTGGTTGTAGAAAATTGGGCTTGCTTTTATTCTCAGAGAAGAAAAAAATAACCAAATGCATTTTTACTGTTTCTATTTTGGAAAAACAAGTTCCCTATACCTAGGAAGTTATCTTTTCCTTGCAATTGAGGGGCCTGCTGGGTTGATAATTGGAACTTGGAATTTGGTGTTAAAATTTTAATGGACGTGTAGAATCTCCTATTTTTTTGGCACAGCATGGTGTTTTTGGCATCTTTGTGGACTAAGATATATGTTTCTCAGAAATATTTCATTTTCTTGTTTGCAAAGGAGAGGCTCTTTCAATACAAGGCCTTTTGTTTCTAATTCTGGTCTTTTTTCTCCTTTTTTTATTTCATATTCTATGAGGATACATATTTCTCTCTCTTTTTTTAATTATTTCTTCCCTTTATAAAAACCATTTTCATTTTGAACTAATAAAGGTAAATGCTAGATGGCGTACTAAGATTTTGAGGTTTGGGATTGTTTGAAATTCCAGTATTTTCAGTTTGTTTATGATTTGTTTTCCTCAGATAGATGCCTGCAATGGATACTATTGTGATGGGTTCAAACCAAATTCCCATACGAAGCCGGTACTTTGGACGGAGAATTGGGATGGATGGTATGTCAATTCATTACAGTTCAGCTGAATTTATTTTCAGTAATCTTTTAGTATCTGGGATGTATTTGATAATTAAAGATACTACGTTGCTCTAATACTTGGGTTATTTTAGTTTTTAAGAAAACTAGAAAACCATAAAAATTTTGAAAAATAGTTAGAAGTGAGAACGGATAACTCATTATTGAAGCCTGTTGCATGGGACCACCTGAGGGGTGTAAGAATAGTAGGAAGCATTCAACTAAAGTCGTTGCGTGGCCAAGGCTCTTAGTTCAAATTACAACAAGCCCCATGTGATACCCAGGTACTTTCATGCTATTGTTTAAGTATTGAGACTAGTATAAATTGCAGCAAGCTCGTTTGGTAGTCAAATAGTTCTACACTATTATGCTCAAGTTTAAGTGGCGACAGAGATAAAAACTATAACGGCGAGTCCCTTCTAAAATAACAAAAAAGGGATACTGTTGCATGCGAGTGTTTTAGCAATACCTTATATAAGTAAATTGAATTTATTTAATGTTTCCAATAATTTTTGGTTTTTGGATGTATTTGATCTTTGAAGATACTACCTTGTAATAATACTTATAATTCAAGTTTTGAGAAAACTAGAAAATCATTAAAAAAAACTTGAAAATGGTATAGAGGTGGGAAAGGATAACTGGTTACTGAAGTCTTGTTGCACGGGACCCTAGTGTTGTGATACAAATGGGTGGAAGCCTTCAACCATGTTCTATGCGTGTCCAAGGTCCTTTGTTTGAATTGTAGCCTGCCGCATTTGGGAGCCAGGTAATCTTGTACTATAATGTTGAGTACAGAGAAAAAGACCACCAACAAATTCCCCATAAGACAAAAAAATTCATGTTGCCCATAAATGTTTCAGGACTTCTGCAACCAATATGAAAAAGTTTGTTGTAGACTTTCTGTAACATTCTTAGATGCTTTGATTGGGACCTCTCTACTTAGTCTTTTCAGCAATTTTCTTCCCCCAAGGTTTAGTTTTGTAAGTTCTTGTTCAATTCTTCTTTTGCCCTTATATTGGAAAATATTGATAGAATGCATGGTAGAGAAGTCGACATTTCGTTCATTGACATGATTAACATAACTCCAGAAGGAGTTTTCACAAGGGTAACTGATAATTGTAGTCTTTGGCACAACTATTGCAGTTATTATGATAGCTATCTACGCAAATAAGGAATGTTATTGATTGCAAACACATAGATATTTTTAGTGTTTTTGGGTTAACCTTTTTAGGTATACATCCTGGGGTGGAAGATTGCCTCACAGGCCAGTAGAAGACCTTGCATTTGCTGTTGCACGCTTTTTTCAACGAGGAGGAAGCTTTCAGAATTATTACATGGTATAATGATTAATGATAATGAGTCCTAACTTTAATATCATTATATTATTCTGCCCGAATTGCTGCAATCTTATCTTTTGCTATTTCAGGCTTATATGCAATTTTAGTACTGTGGGTCATTTATGTTGTTCCAATGGAAACTAACATATAAGATCCAGTGGTGTTCTCCATGTGATAAAAAGTAAAGGACTTTTACATCCTGGATATAGACTGGGTTTAACTTTAATGGACTGATGGAATTGGAGAGACATGATGAAACAGGTTTAGGG